GAGCTATAGGCGCCAAGCCTCTTTTTTTTATTATTATTATTTTTAAGCTTTTTTTTCCCCCAGTTTTTGGCTGGGGCTGGGTTTGAACCCGCCACCTCCGGCATATGGGACCAGTGCCCTACCCTTTTGAGCCACAGGCAGTGCCCCATTCACAACTCTTAAACAATAAAATGAACTGAAATTTATCCATCAATTCTCAGAATACGCAGTTGTATGTGGCTACCTAGTTCCCGCCCATTTTGTACAGATAGTTTCAGACTTCTCTTCATTTGGTATACTCAAACCTAAGGAAGATAAAAGAACAAGGGAAAAAACCCCATGTTGGGCAAGTTATGCTATCTATTGGTTGTATGTAGCAAAATCTGATTTACCTAAATATGCCACAGTTCCACAGCACCACATAGTAACAGGCTTTTTGTAAAATTCTTTCCAGCTCACAGGAATGAAGGAAGGATAGTCAAAAGGGGGGTCCACAGGTGAGTTAAGTAAGCCCAGCTGCAAGACCAACAAGCGAGCTCAGTCCTGAGATTACTTGGCAGCCTCTAATTGCCCTGGCTGTCCTCTAATGGCTACCCAAAACCACTTTGGCTTTACTCATGTTTGCAAATTTTCATAGCTAATGTCAAAACACTAAATGTGCATCATTGTCCCAGAGGAACATGTCAGAAATAATACTGAATTTTTAAATTTAATAGTGAATTTCCAGTGCAAAAAACTGGAAAAGTTACAATTTGAGATGCCTTAAAACTGAGTTAAAACGTTAGGGAAATCATTTATGGAATATATATATTTTTAGAGACAGAGTCTCACTTTATTGCCCCCGGTAGAGTGCTATGGCATCACAGCTCACCACAACCTCCAACTCCTGGGCTCAAGCGAGTCTTCTGCCTTAGCCTCCCCAGTAGCTGGGACTACAGGCGCCTGCCACAACGCCCAGCTATTTTTTGTTGTTGTTGCAATTTGGCCAGGGCCGGGTTTGAAGCCGCCACCCTCAGCATATGGGGCGGGTGCCCTACTCAATGAGCCACAGGTGCTGCCATGTATGTGTGTGTGTATATATATATATATATATACACATACATATATATATATACACATACATACACATATACATACATTTTTTTTTTTGGTCAACCTTTATTCTTAACTGGCATTTTTGTTTAAAAACCATCTATCAGGCTCGGTGCCTGTGACTCAGTGGCTAGGTCACTGGCCACATACACTGGGGCAAGCGGGTTCAAACCCAACCTGGGCCTGCCAAACGACAACCACAACAACAAAAAAAATGGCCAGGTGTTGTGGGCGCCTGTAGTCCCAGCTACTTGGGAAGCTGAGGCAAGAGAATCACTTAAGCCCAAGAGCTTGAGGTTGTGGTGAGCTGTGACACCAGCACTCTACCAAGGGCAACTAATAAAACCGTCTCAAAAAAAAAAAAAAACCCCAAAAAACCCATTCATCAAAGTTATGGAGATTAATATTAATCTCTTTCCCCAAACAAAAGCCTCATTCTATGAAAGGGTCAATTGCTATTAGGCCCTTTCTTCCCCTTAAGGTAAAAATAATACATACAGTTCCCCCACCCCTATTTCCTAGATAGAAATTGAACTTTTGGCTCAGCGCCTGTGGCTCAAGTGGCTAAGGCGCCAGCCACATACACCTAAGGTGGTGGGTTCAAATCCAGCCCTGGCCTGCCAAACAATGACAGCTGCAACCAAAAAAAATAGCCAGGCGTTGTGGCGGGCACCTGTGGTCCCAGCTACTTGGGAGGCTGAGGCAGGAGAATTGCCTAAGCCCAGGAGTTGGAGGTTGCTGTGAGCTGTGATGCCACAACACTCTACCCAGGGGTACAGCTTGAGGCTCTGTCTCAAAAAAAGAAAAAAAAAATAGAACTTTTTTCACATTTAGGTAATTCTAAAACCAAATGTCATTCTTGCTCCTAAAAGAGATATTTGCACCAAGTACCTTATGAATTACAGCCTATTTGGATTATCTTTCAAAATAAGCTCAATTTAAGCAGAAAATGGAAGCCCACGTTTCATAATAAAGCATTTAAACACCATACTAACTCTGCAATTTGAAACAAAAGTTTTAGTCATAAGCACACATTTCCTTGTTTAAAAATGGAATAGATGACAATCTAATCCATAGTAACCTATTTGAACATAATTACTAGGATATTTTATTACTAAAATAGCAAAATACACATTTAAACAAAACCTCTCTCATTTGGATGACTTACAAGAACTTAAGTGTAAAAGAAAGTTTTTGCATCTTTCCATTGCATAGTAAAAATCCCAAATCAAGGAGGTGCCTGTAAGCTCATCTCCTGCCTCCGCCTCCCAAGTAGCTGGGACCACAGGCGCCCACCACAATGCCTGGCTATTTTTTGGTTGCAGCCATTATTGTTGATGGCGGGCCTGGGCTGGATTCAAACCCGCCACCTTAGGTGTATGTGGCTGGCGCCTTAGCCACTTGAGCCACAAGCGCCAAGCTCACTTTTTTGTTTCTCAAGCATCATCTTTACAGGTACTACCAAAGATCAACCTAACTACAGTAAAGTAATGGTTTCCATATTTGAGTAGTCCAAATTAATGAGATTTTACTATATTAATATTCAACAGAGCACACTGTTAGAAGAATACAAATTTCTACTCTCTATATCAAGGTTAAATTTTAATTCAACAAAGCAGGGGGTATGAAAAATGACTAATGGGGTAAGAATATACATTATTTGGGTGATGAATATACTAAAAGCCCACCACTATACAATATATACATGTGATGGGGCCAACTCGTAACCCTAAATCTAAAATTCTTGAGAAGGAAGAAATTGTAATTCAACAGACCTAGTGTACTTTTAACACTTACACAGAAGTCAGTCCTGGACACATCATGTACTCCATATGCCTTACTAATAACCTAAAAGAAAACCAAATTGCTCATTTCATGGCACCCTGGAAGAAATAATTATGTAATAAACGACAGTAAGAAAAAGCCACTTATCATATAGTCTAGTCTTTATTGAAAGACTTACTTCAACTGTGGTTTACAGCTTTGGCTTAAGTTGGCCAGGCATTTCAGCCTCTCACTGCCAGTGACATAAAAATCAAGTGGGAATGGCATGGGGGCAAATACTAGTAGAGAGATTATTAGAGCAAAGAAGATGGCAATTAGAAACACATCACCAAAATAAATCTCAAAATAGGAAACACTTCCTTGTGTGTCAAAGAATCTCTGCTGCTATTTTTGATGAACACAGAAGGGAAAAAGGGCAATGATTCTTAGGCTTAAATTGGATCAGGATAGCACTGACGTTGCTTAGTGTTATAAAACTGTCTGAGTCCGTGTTAGCTTAATAGTTGTATTTAAATGGTGTATTTGGATAAGTAGCTTTGTATTTTAAAAACCATTTAACACAAAATAATTTCCATGAACTGAACTCATCATGAAATCTTGTTTTCTTTCAGATTAAGATGAAGGACACTTTAGTCACATGTTTGCAATGGCAATTTAACTAGTCTTGGATAATTTTATTAAATCCTAGAATACAAAACCACGTAACACTGCAGCTCTGTTTAGCTGCCAGTTATCTTGGCAAGCCCCTTAATTTACTGACAGACCAAAAAGGGCAAACTGAGAGCTTAATAAGCTTTTATCAATTAAAAAAATTTTTGGTTGTTGAAGTTTCACATATATTCATGAATATTTTTAATCCGGGGGGGGGCATAATATATAATTTCTTGAATGTGCTCCCTATAAAATATAAAGTAACTTTTCTAAAAACATTCCCCAAAGATATTATGAACCAAAGAAAAGAAATAAGGGTATGTTTTATTATGTAATACAAGTGGATAATAGATGACTCTTACGGTTAAAACTAAGTTGTCATGAAAAATCTGGCCCCAGCCACGTACACCTAAGGTGGCGGGTTCGAATCCCCAGCCTGGACCCGCCAAACAACAATGATGGCTGCAACCAAAAAATAGCCGGGCGTTGTGGCGGGCGCCTGTGGTCCCAGCTACTTGGGAGGCGGAGGCAAGAGACTCGCTTGAGCCCAGGAGTTGGAGGTTGCTGTGAGCTGTAATGCCACGGCACTCTACCCAGGGGGACAGCTTGAGGCTCTGTCTCAAAAAAAAAAAAAAAAAGAAAAATCTGGCCCAAAGATGATGAACTTCAGACCTTGTGAATTTTTATGTTGAATACATTTGGCTATATTTCCAAGTGGGGAAAGCAGGAAGTAATACTAAATTATTGTGGTTAGCAATTTATAAAACCATCATTATTTCATAGGTAATTTTAAGACTTGAAACGTTTAAGAATTAGTAATTTGTGGGTGCCAGTTGCAACTTACTACTTAACTGTAAAAGGCTATTTTCTCATTTTGGTGCTCAGGCTAACAAAATTTTGAATACAGTGCCAAAACATCTGCACATCCAATCTCTCACAATTCAAATACACAGGATTTATCTATTTCACATTCCTGTTTAATAGAAATTTGAGGCAGATTTTATCCATATAGCCTGAAAAATGCCTCAAAAGCAAACCTCAATCTTCTGCATCTTCCCAGTTGATTCATTTACAAACTGCACACATACAATGTAAGTTCTATTCATGCTTGTCATCCCATGCACACTACCCACAAGGAAAAAAATTAATTAAAAATAAGTCACAACTCTGTGTACTATTTAAACTGAATATCCAATTATAAATTGGTACACTGAACTGTCTAAATAAGATGTTTTAGCATTCTTGTTAAAAAAATTCTTGGGCAAAATATATCTAATTTTTATAAACACCCCAAGATTTTTAAAAAACGCTTGTACTATACAACTTATAGTAACCTTGAAATTGGGTTACAAGGTTTTAATCAAGGTATTTACATACCAAGTAAAGCAAAACCCCCCAAAACCAAAAACAAATCCCTAATTTCCAATGACATTTTAGAATGTACTAATGTGTCAAAGATTTGTATGAAATTAAAATTAAGGCTTTTTCTGCGTAATTTGTGTAATTTTAATTTTACATAGTAGCCAACCTTGAAAAATGTCAGTCTTAAACATTCTGATCAACCCACTGCATTCAATGCAGTGAAGTTGTATTAAGTGTTACTTCAAATAATTACATTGCTGCTACTTCTATGTTGAAGCATGCTTTTTAAACACTGTAGTTACTCAATATTTACAATGTATATCATTTAAACTTCATGTAAAAGCACAAGTATGACTGTCTGACTTTAATACAAACACCATACTTGGAATATTCCCCCCCAAATGAAATGTAATATACTACAATTTTAATAATCAACACTTTTGGAAATTTCAAAAATATGTCGTAACGTGGGGACCACCAATATTTGCTCAAGTAACTCAGACAATGCTGTTCCTTATTTAGGGTACAAAATTTCAGTCTGGCTTCAGTTTCTTTAAAATATTTCCTCCAAAGCGACTTCAATATCATGCATTTCTTCTCAATATCACACTCTTTCCTGCTGACTTCAAATGTGGTCCACCTCAGGACAAGGTAGGGGAGTATCAGGATTCAGGATGAACTTATATGTGATTCCCAGTTTTTCACGATCCTCCCTTTTTTGCTCTTTTAAAAATACAGTGAGTTAAAATACTGAACAGCAAGATAAAAATGGAATTGTATCTGTAAGAATCAAAATGTATTACCCATTTCTCCTATTATATCAAAATTTGTAGTCAGAATTGTCTTTATTGACTTTATTTTAGTTTTTGTACACAAAGAAAAATCATGTTCATATCCATCATGAACAAAAACTTAAAAAGGCAGAACTAGAAGACATGTGTCCTTCACCAAAGCAAAGCTGTGCTAAAGGTTCCAAACATTTCAATTTTTAAAATAAATATTTTCATTTTCCGACGTCTACTTTCGTGTCTTCAGAGTGTCACAGGAAATTGAAGCCTATCATGAATTATAATTTTTTTTTAAGAGTCCCGGCTCACTGTGTTTGGTAACTTGCCATACCATATCCAGCTTGGTTAGGAGGAGGTATTACAGGGGGAGGAGCTTGTCCCTGGGGAGGCTGAGCACCAAATCCACCCATCCAAGCAGCAGAAGGTGATTGACTTAGAAGAAAAAGAAAATAATCTTCAGCAAATATAAGAAGAAAATACTACATATCATCTATACCAGCGGTTCTCAACCCAGGGGTCAGATGACCCTTTCACAAGGGTCATCTAAATACATCCTGCATATCAGATATTTACATCACAATTCATAACAGTAGCAAAATTACAGTTATGAAGTAGCAACGAAAATAATTTTATGGTTGGGGGGGGGTCACCACAACATGAGGAACTGTATTAAAGGGTCACAGCATTAGGAAGGTTGAGAACCACTGATCTACACAGTTACATAAAAATTAAGCAAAGCCTAACCACAGAATAGACAACTAGAAATCAACAAACCTACAACAAATAATCAAAGAAGATATGTGTAGAATACATATACCACTATTAGCCTTAAATTTCTGTTAAGGTAACCACAACTCAGCACAATGACATCTCTGAAGAGTATCTAAAAACTGACTTTAAAAAAAATGATAAATGTCTCAACATATCTACCCATCATGTATTGCACACATGGTCTACCAACTTACAACCAATTATAAGAGATTTAACTCATTCTAACAACAAAGGGGGGTCAGAACAGGTTATTCTGTGTCATATGTATCTTTGAGATTTCTTAACCATGACACAAACAGGTACAAAATCATCATATTGACTTGGCGCCTGTAGCTCAGTGGCTAGGGCACCAGCCACATACAACCAGGCTGGCAGTTTCGAACACAGCACAGGCCTGCCAAATAACAGTAACAATGACAACAAAAAAATAGCTGGGTGTTGTGGCAGGTGCCTTTAGTCCCAGCTACTTGGAAGGCTGAGGTAAGAGAATCACTTAAGCCCAAGAGTTTGAGGTTGCTGTGAGCTGTGATGCCATGACAATCTACCCAGAGTGATATAGTGAGACTGTCTCAAAACAAAACAAAAAAAGTCACATTTATGAACATGTCTAGACAAATATCTTTGACATGCAAAAATAAGTGAAATAGTCCATTGCAAATATAAGTCAAATTCTACCAACTGTTTACAGGGATAGCAGAAGGCACTAAATGCCACCCCAACCTTCCTTTTCACCCAGGCAACTTTTTAGCACCATAAATCACATTTCAGATTATTTCCATTAATGTTTAAAACGCCACATAGGTCAATGTATATAATTTAAGTATATCCTCCCTAGGAAAACATACTTTTATGTCCCTTGTTAGAACAATATCTGCTTCAATACGGAAACCCTAACAACTTACTCTACTCCAAATCCTTGTTGATTCCATGGCTGCCCGTATACTCCGTAAGGTGGTACTTGCCACCCATTAGCCATATACTGTCCATACTGTTGTGGGTTTCCATACACTTGGCTCCACTGGCCCCACTGACTGTAGTCAACCTAGGAAAAAGCAAATTGCTATTTTAGGGAACAAGAAAGAAACACCGTATTTGAAGAAAGAGTGGGAGACAAGGAAGAGAAAAACTAAGTAAGCACCCTTATGTGAATAGGACTCTGTTATTTATCATTGTCTAAGTTTATTGGGGTGGTGACACCTGTGAAAAGAAAGTATTAAGATTCAGTTAATACCGCAAAATAATCAATTTTGAAACAGCATTAATACAATCAATTGAAAGTAGCTATTAGCTTAATTTTTATTTTATTGTTTATTTTACAGAGTTTCCAAAGCTTTTATGTAGATACGTAAGATGGAAAACTTTGAAAAAGTGCTATGAAAAATCGAATTACCTGTTGAAAATTTTTAGTCATATCAGGAGATTCTTTACCCCAATAGCATTTAACCACATGTCCTTCAATTGTAGTACCATTCACTGAGACAATAGCATGGGCTGCACTTTCATGGGTTGAAAATCTAAGAGAAAAAAAAATCATAAGGTTTTGCCTTTTGTTTTTTTTTTAAGAATTTAACACAGTAACACAGGGACTCATTAGTTTATACATGTGAATGGGTATTTTTCCTAAAGTACATGATAGAGGTAAAGTTCAGTATCAAAATAATAAACTCTGATACCTTGAGAATCAAATGTAAAACTAATAATGAATTACAGGTAGGATATTACCTGACAAAGGAATAGCCCTTCTCTGGAAAAACTCTTATTTCCATAATTTGCCCAAATGGTGAGAAAGTCTGTCTCATAAGCTGATCTATGAAACAAAAAACATGCAAATTAAATTCTTAGGACTGATGTATATCATAAAATACACACTAAGTAGTGATGAAGTGCCATAAAGAAGGCAATCAGAAAACCAAGCATAATACCTGTTAACCCAGAAGCAATTCCTCCACAGTACACAGTACAATTTTTCGGACTTGACTGGTTTACTACGTCTTCAAATCTCAACTGCTTAGTGTTATCTATATGCAAAAAGAAAACCAAAAAGTTGACTATTACGCAGTTATTATAAAAACTATCTTTTGTTAATTATTATGTACTATTCAGTTGTGCCTCAATGGGAGGAAAAAATATAATTTTTTTATGCTATGATATGATACAGATTTAAAATCAAGTGGTTTACAGCTCCAAAAATACTTATATCACAGCCCAATTTTCACATAATGAAATCCAAAATGAGTCTTGCAATACTAAATATTAAAAAATTAAGACTATACTAGTACATCCTCTTCTGAAGAATCCATAATTGTAACATATACAGCAGACAAATCTTACTTTCTTGTGTACTTTTAGGTGCAGGTGGTTTACGCGTGGCCCAATTGGTTCTGATTTGACGACCACCCAACCACTGACCTCCCATATGTACAATTGCATTTTCTGCATCCTATGGAGAAAAGAAGAAAAAGAACAACCACAAAGAAAATAGTCATATATAAGACTTGGTAAGATGAAATAAAATGCTGGCACTGCTGGATCTAATAAATCTCATCACTAGATGAATTCAAAAACATCCTAAATATTAACACTGATCTATTACCAACCAGAAAAATGATTTGACTTGAGTGATTTCATAAAAGCTATTGTTATTTATAGATTTCAAAATGCCAAGATAACATTTTAGTTCAAGGAAAATTATCATAGTTCAAAAATGTAAGAAAAGAAAAATCACATAATCCACTGATTATCTCAAGAACTATTTTTAGTTTCTCAAGTATATACATTTGAATAAAAAGAAAATAGAATTCATACAAGACAAAGTTATTTTCAGGTATCTTAATTTTGTGGTTGAATTTTCATTTTTACTGAAGAATATATAAAAACTCTAAAATTATGACCTAAATCACCTACTCCCACAAATCTACATTCTAACAGTGATAAATTATGGCACAAGATTTAAAACTGGTTTTAAGATAGAAAATCTCTGCATTATGATTTAGAAGGCTACACAATGGCTATTGATAGAAAATGAGTTTAGATTACCCAAACCAGTGTGTATCTGCAATTAATCTAAGACACATAGAACAACTCTGGTCTTTTATTTTACCACTTCAATAAAATGCAGGTAATTTAAGTTACCTATTTTTAAAATGTAGGTACTTTAAGTTGCTGAAACTATTGTGATATCAAAGCCCACTTTACTATTTAACATTACAGTTAATGCAAATGTTTAGATATTTTGGTATATTTCTTAAAGAATCACAGGGAAAAATCAAGATGAACTGTTTAAATTTTAATTTATATTATTTGCTATAGTCATTAACATCCCAGCTATAAAAGTATGAATAATTTAAAAGAGTTCAAATTGAGATTTTCGTGGTTAAACTGAATATAATTTACCTACCCTCCAAATTCAGATTAGTTCATCTGCCCCAGACTTGTGCTTTACTTCCAATATATCAAAGACACAAATACAACTGCAGTTATCTTCCATATAACACCCTTTTTTTTTCTTTTTGAGACAGAGTCCCACTTTGTCACCCTGGGTAAGTGCCCTGGTATCATAGCTCACAGCAACCTCATACTCTTGGGTTTAGGCAATTCCCTTGCCTCAGCCGCCAGAGTAGCTGGGACTACAAGCACCCACCACAACACCCAGCTATTTTTAGAGACAGGGTCTCACTCTAGCTCAGGCTAGTGTCGAACTGTGAGCTCATGCAATCCACCCACCTCAGCCTCCCAAAGTGCTGGGATTACAGCCGTGAGCCACTGCACCCAGCCAACACCCTATCTTTCCCCAGCTATTTATTTCCAAGTTTATGAAAGAAATTATACCCTGTTATTAAAACATACACAAAATTACATAAAAGTTATGTTTGTTGTTAATATCCAAGCACATTCAAGTTTCATATTCGATATATTAACTAATAACTAAATTTAGTATTAAAAAATTTAAATTGAGTTGGAAGAACGTACCAGTTTGTTATAAAAAGATACAAAACCATAGCCTTTGGATTTTCCAGTTGCCATGTCTTTAACTACCCGAGCATCCCTGTGAAAAGAAGCACAGCTAAATGAGGGAAGTAAGAGTCACGCTCAAAACAAAAACTAAAAGGAACCACACACACTGTATTGTGAGCATTTTTAAAATAAAATTCCAGTTAGCCCTAATTAACTACAGCCATTCCTGAACTCTCCCTAATGCTTCTTTACCTGTTAGAAAAAAGCAGTAGGACAAAAACATGTAATAAACATGCAACCTAATCAAATAGCCTGTGCTTTCTAAACTAAATGCTCAAATTTGAAGATTAACAGGAACAATAGTTTCCTTTTCTAATATTCTATTTGCTAGTGTCCTCTAAGGTTTACTGATTCTATAAATTACTGTAACAATGCTAACTACTTTACCATGCAATCTCTAAATAGTTAAATGTCTTCTGCCTAGTGATATAAAATATATGAAATATTAAAAAATTGAAAAAGAGGAAAAAATAGGAATTAAAAAGGCATACATGGCCTGTTAACAGATTTCTTTATTTTTCTTGGTCAATTCTCTACCATCATTTTGGAGTTTGGGCAGCTGTAAATTTTGAAAAATTGACATTTTCAGAAATTTAAGAAAGGAGAATAAAAAACTAACAACAATGCTAAGCACACCAGTACGAAAACAACAAATTTACACAGAAATTTTAGTGAGTAAGTTAAAATGATTGGAAATATAGAACTCCACTGAATATAGAATGTTAAAATGTAAATACTAAAATATGTATATATAAATAATGTATAATAAGAATAAATAGAAATGAGAAAAAAAATCTACAACTGAGTTCCAGTGTGCACAGTTCCTTGCAGTTAGCCTTCAAGATCCTGTCCATTCTTATGAGCAATTCTGCAAAATAACCAGAATGCTATTACTTTTAATTGTGACTTGGACTTTAGAAAAACTGCAGGTCTCAGGTATAAATATTGAAAACAGTAACCTGTATTATTTATATACTGATTTTTAAAATAGTACTACTTACCACATTTACATTAAAAAGAAAAGCAAACATTAAAACAGAAAATTAAGAATTAAATCTTTCAAATAAATTAAATCTACAGAACAACAAATTGTATAGAGAAAAAAATTGTTGTTCTTAGTTGAAACATACTCCTGTAAAGTAGTACTAAACATTTAATTTTAATCTATAGGAAATATACAAAATAAATTGATTTTAAGCAGAAAGATAAACTGTGATAAGCATTTTATAAAACTTATAAACATTTTCAGTTTTCCAATATATTTGATCAAGTAACAACAGTAAAACTGGTGCATAAATTTTGCTAAAAATCAAACCACATTTAACCCCTAACTAGCAGAATCAAGTATCATTAACCAAAAAACACTACTGATTAATTCGTTATAACACTGAAACATTTTAACATTGTAATAGTATTATTTTTCACTTATAGCTAAAATATCACAACACATTTGTTATAATAAAACATGAACATTTCTAATTTAACCACAACATATCCAAGGATTTACCTACTCTTCCCCATTTACACATTCCCCAGTATAAATCACATTTACTTTTAATACACAATATAAACACATTTACTTTTGATTAATCCATTTATCCTTAACCACCAAATTTTGAAAACATTTGACAAAAAGCTGTGCTTTATAAGTTTTACCATTCAAACATGTGCTTCAAAGATAACAAACACAATCACTTAAATTTTTTTAACATATTATACACAGGATTAGATGAAAACAAGACCCCAAAACATTGAAATGACATTAACATTTTCAACAACATCTACTACTGAAAAAAGAAAACAAATTTTTTAAAAAACTGAAATACAGAAACAAACAAAAAAAATCACACTAACTAGAAAAAGGAAATCTTAATTCAGTTTACAAGTTAATCATGTACAATTTTGCCTATTATCTAGCAAGTGAAGTACTGATCATGATACTTACGATATTTTACCAAAGGGGGCAAATGCTGATTTGATATCTTCTGTTGTAATTTCTGGACTCAAATCCCCAACAAACACATGGAAGTGATCTGAAATCAAAGCATTTAATCAAATACTTAATTTGTCGGCTACTAAACCTTTTTTAGGCAACACTAAAGGAGGAAGAAACCCTGTTTAAGCTGGTAATGCTGCCAGGATAATTTCAGAACTCTTCCACAGTAAAATGCAGCAGAAGTACTTACTGGAAGTATCTTTTTTCTGGCTACTTGGTGTTGTTGCCCAGTTTACTTTGACCTCCTAAAAATAAAGATTATATTTCATACAATTATTAGGCATGTCATGAGTTATAACACTTACCATTTATAAAATAATTTATCAAGCAGGATTATTTCTGAAAAAGCATTAGGCTGAATAAAGTAAAATCACCACTCAGCAGCTGAAAATCTGTTTAAAAAACTGCTAAGAAAGAATACAAACTAATTGAACATGCAAATACATGTACTCATAAGGTGCCATCGCTCTATTATCTTACCTTTCCCAAAATTTTTCTCCCATTCATAGCAGCTAATGCAGCAGCTGCATCTCTGTGTTCATAAAATTCCACAAAGCAATATGGGTCATTGCTTGTATGCTGCAAAACAGAAAATCCAACAGAAGAGTTGACCCTTCTGCTATCGGGTTGCTGAGAAGAAAATCCAGGAAAAAACATTACTGACAGCTAGGAACGTACAAGATGAGATTGCATAAGCTTATGAAAGCCTAACACTTAAAAAATAAGATTTAAAGTGAAACTTGACTTTGTACCTCAGAATGCTTTTGTACTCAAACAAAAATATAAAATAGTATAGAATCATGATCATCAGTATTAAATGAAAACACAGGCTGGGCATGGAGGCTCACACCTGTAATCCTAGTACATTGGGAAACTGAGTTGGGATGACTGCTTGCAGCTAGGAGCTCAAGATCAGCCTGAGCAACAAAGTGAGGACACTGTATCTATAAAAAAAACTTAAAAATTAGCTGGGCATGGTGCCACATGCCTGTAGTCCCAGCTACTCAGGAGGCTGAGGCAAGAGGATTGCTTGAGCCCAGGAGTTTGAGGTTGCAGTGAACTATAATCATGTCACTACAGTCCAGTCTGGGTGGCAGAGCCAGACCCTGTCTCTAAAATAAAAGAAAAAAGAAAACACAGAATTCTGGTAAAGTACATTAAACATAAAAGACAAGCTTATATTAGACCAAAAGAAAACTTTAAACTCAGATTTACTGAAGACCACTCCTTATCACTGCTTCTCTTCCAACATTATTTTTACAACAGTCAATTCTACCTAGGCATCATAATCCTTCATAAACTATACCGCAGGATAGAGAAATACAGGAAAAACCAACTTCTAAAAATGCAGAAATAAACCAACTTTATACACTTTACTCTGCATCAAAACTAGAATTAGTACCACAAATGATGGTATTTTTGTACTGCTATAAAGACAGGATTACATATTTTTTAGATAAGGAAAAAACGAGAAAACAAGAAAATTTAAGATTTATAACTAGCTACTGAAATGAATTCCTTATCTTTCAAAATAGTATAATGTATTGAAGTTTCTATATACTTTGGATTATATCTTTCAAAGACTAGAGAAATATACTAGTGGTCAAAAGAATTCTTAAAAATGGGTCTGAATCTGCACAACTGTAAGGATTCACCTTTTTATGTAAGGTGAGAAACATTCATCATTATTCAATGTAAAATGCCCTCCAAGAATATTTAAAATGTAGAATTGTAGCTAGGACTTACAAGGGATAAAAATACCAGATAAAATGTAATGCCAGTACTTGAGAGGCTGAGGTAGGTACATTGCCTGAGCTCACAGGTTGCCTGAGCCAGGGTGAGATCTTGTCTTTAAAAAAAATAGCCAGGTGTTGTGATGGGCGGCTTAGAGTCCCAGCTACTTGGTAGGCTGAGGCAAGAGGATTCTTTTTTTTTTTTTGATACAGAGCCTCAAGCTGTCACCCTGGGTAGAGTGTCGTGGCATCACAGCTCACAGCAACCTCCAACTCCTGGGCTCAAGCGAGTCTCTGAGGCAAGAGGATTCTTGAGCCTAAGAGTTTGAGGTTTCTGTGAGCTACAATGCCATGGCACTCTATAGAGGCCAACAAAGTGAGACTCTGTCTCAAAAAAACAAAAAAACAGATAAAATAAACATCTTTTCAATAATTTATTGCTTTTCATTCTAGGAAAGTTTTAGAAGAAAAGTCCAACATCGTAAGATGTCTAATAGTGGTGAAGCACTTGAGGGGAAAAGAGGAACTATTAGGACCGGCTACAGGTTCGCACACAAAATCCTACTGCTATAGCCATGAAATGCTGTTCTTAAGAGGCAAGGAAATGTGGGGACTGAGTCCAAATAAAAATACACACTTAAAAGTCTTGTAAAGAGTTAACCTTTAGCAGAAAAATTCACTGAAGAAAGGAATTAAAAGTAAATAAGCAGCTAAGATTGTGTGAGTCAATTTTCTCTTTTAATCCTATATCTTCTCTTGCTCTCTAAGGGAAAGATTAATAAATAAAGTAGAATACACAGGGATCTAACGGTAGATAATCATACATGCCTTTTAGGAAACTAGTCTACTCAGGCATACTGATTTCAAATTTATCTAATATTGGGCCAGATTCCATTCAAAATATGCATAAATGCATGTACGTGTGTGTGTGTGTGTGTGTGTGTGTGTGTGTGTGTGTGTAGTATATACTATATAGCAGGGGTCCTCAAACTTTTTAAACAGGGGGCCAGTTCACTGTCCCTCAGACTGTTGGAGGGCCGGACTGCGGGCTCTGGGGTGAGCTGCCTGCTAAGTAGGCCAGGCAGTGGCAGCAAAAACACCTGGTGGGCTGGATAAAGGTCCTAGGTTGGCTGCAATTTGAGGAAGCCTGCTATAAAAGAAAAGCAGAATCTATAATAAACTTTTCAAGGAAAAGATTGGGGGGAAAGGATTTTTCATATACTGAAATGAAATTTATGAAAGAAAAATAAATACCTACACGTTAAACAGTCTACAAACATTCATGACCTTTAGATACCTCCTATTTATACCACTACCAAGTGACGCTCTTAAAAATCAATTATGTCATTACCCTAGTGTTGTCACCAATTTTTGTTGGATGACATAAATGTCAAATATGAGATTTTATAACTATAAAGTTCAAATCTAGGTATTCCAGAATACAGATAAATTATGAAAATTCATTGCAAGTACCTCTACCCTCAAATGGCTGTAATACACACACAGCTTTTTAAAAATATACAAAGATAAATTTTTGACAAATGTTTCTCAAAAACTTTCTAGTGACTCCACTTTCTCACATCCCATTCTCTCCTAACCACTCCTGTTAGCCTCCAAGCCAACCACGCCATTGACACTGTATGTTGAGCTCACCAATGACCTCTGCTACCTCTATGATCCCTTTTCTGTTCTTATCTTGACTTACAAGCAGAATTCAAAACAGTTGACTGCTACCCTCCTTTAAACAATCTCTTCTCTTGGGTGGTGCCTGTGGATAGAGCGCCAGCCCCATATGCTGAGAGTGGTGGGTTTGAACCTGGCCCCAGCCAAACTGCAACAAAAAAATAGCTGGGTGTTGTGGTGCGCGCCTGTAGTCCTAGCTACTCCAGAGGCTGAGGCAAGAGAACTGCCTAAGCCCAGGAGTTGGAGGTTGCTGTGAGCTGTCATGCTACGGCACTCTACCAAGGTCAATAAAGTGAAACTCTGTTTCTAAAAAAAATTAAATAAATAAATAAATAATAAAAATAAATAATCCCTTCTCTTGATCCTACCACATTCCCTTGGTTGTCCTGTTTCCTCACTGGAGGATATTTCCTCCTTGACATAAACTCTAACTCTGTATCTGTTGAGCTGCTCCAGGGCTGGGCCTCAGTGCCTCTACTTACTCTTCTCCCATCACTCTTTAGCAGACCTCATCTAGTTCCATGGCTTGAAATACCATGCAAGCTTCAGCACTGGTCCCTCCAGAGCTCCAATCTAGCCTATCCAACTGCCTACATATAAAGTCCATTTAGATGTCTAATGCACTCCTTAAACCTTACACTGCCAAAGCAGAGCTCCTGGTCCCACCACTCCCCCATCCATCCTGTGCCTGTCATCCTCATTCTAGTAAATAGCATCACCGATCTCTTCCTTTTCCTTAGGTCCCATAGACAATCCAGTCCTCTCAATATTATCTACAAAATATATCCCAAATCTACCTCTACTTCTTTAGCTACCATTGTGAGAAAAGTCTCCATCATTTCTTACCAAGTGAAATAAATCCAGTCGGTTTCTCCCTTTCCATGCTTGTTCCTCCAGTGGTCTGCCACTGCAACCACAGTAAAACCTTAACTTTGTCATGGCCCATACTGGCCTATGGGATTCTGAATCCTGTCTACCTAGTCAGGCCCATTTCCTACCACCCTCCTTCATTATTCACCAGGCTCCAGCCATCCTAATCTTCAGTTCCACAAACATAAGTTCATTACCAATGCAAGGCATCTGTATTTGATGTTTCCTCTGATTCCAGCTCTTACCATAGATAGTACCATCTTCTTATCCCTGTCTCAGCTAAAATAGCTAGTATCTTCCCTCACCATCTAGCCTATACAGCACTCCCTCCAAACATCACAGAACTCTGTTTTATTGTCTTCACTGCTCTTAACCCTATTTACCTGGGGACCTCATTTGTCTGGCTTCCCATTTGTTATATCCCAGTACCCTGAATAGGGCCTAGGACAAAGGAATTTTTTTCACTAATGAAACAATGAATGAATAAGGAAATACAAGAAGAAAGAAAAATATACAAAAACATAACAATGACTGTCATTAATTAGGAAAGATAATCGAAAGACCAGATTTTTAACAATCCCCATCTCCGAATAAAACAAACTCCTTAGCACAGTTTCTGGCCCTTTTCAAACAGTCCTGCCTCATCTCCTGCCATCTCTTATGACTAATCTCATCTTAAACTCCAACCATGCTAGTTTCTAGTTTTCTCTCTTTCTCCTCTACCAGCCTGGATCAATAATCTTCTATCTGGAATCTTTTCTTCCCCAAATTTCTTTCTAAATAGTTTCTATCACTATTCTTTTAGGTTTCAGCCTAGGCACTGACTCCTCCAAGAAGCCTCCCTTCATCTAAAACTACACTGTATACTTACGTTCTCCTATAGCACTTTAAGATGTCTCCTTCCATGCCATTTATTATCTTCTTAATATATACTAAGTGCCTGCTCTCTTTGGTTTTGCACTAGACTGCAAAATTCTATGGGGCTAGGAACTATCCTATTCACCACTGTATCCCTAGCACTTACTCTAGTGTCTGGTGCACGGTAAATAGTCCCCCCCAAAAATCACGTTGATGAGTAAACAAAAAGACAAGAAGAAAAAAACCCATAGCATGAGTTACTGGACACTATTACATACAAAGTCTTACCCAGGAAAAATATAAAGTTTTCTTTGAAAAAAGGAGAACAAAATCATTACTCTAATAATGTAAATGCCCATCTACACAAACTTGCTCAGTCATTAGTATGTACATGGACACCAAATGCGTGATGCTGCACTATGGCGACAATCTAACGTTCTTTTTCATAAACCAATTCCCAAACTTCAAATATACACTAAGTTGTTAACATTCTTATTGGAATTATATGAAATACCATCAAGCTTTTCACCATTCTCACAATAAGCAGATCCACTTAAATATAACTACAATATGAATAATGACCATTTGAGATTAGTAGCACAGAACCTCTGCCCTCTCAAAACTCTATCCTAAGCCTAGCTTGTCAGCCTAATCAAAGTAGTAAGTCAACACAACAAATCCCTCTTCCAGAATAACTTAAGACTTAAAATGAATTTTTAAAATGACACAAATTCAACTTATCATATATATATAATATATATATTTTTTAATTGTTGGGGATTCATCAAGGGTACAAAGAACCAGGTTACACTGATTCCATATGTTAGGTAAAGTCTCTCTTATAATTGTGTCCCGCCTCCACTACCTATAAATCTTGAAACATTAAAACATCACACTAATTGACAGCACATGAAACTGGGAAGATCTTACCTCTGTTATCATTTTACAGCTTTTACAGGGTCCAATCTGACTGAATAACTGAAGTATAAGGACTTCTGTCACATCTCTGGAAAGGTTACCTACGTATCTGTACAAGAAGGAAAAAAAATACATTATCAACAATTTCCTTCAGTTCTGGGTCTAATTCATTATCATTCAATTCATCACCTTTTATTTCAATTTTCTGTCTTCAATAAAATTTTTCCAATTAATCCTGATCCTATGAAAGTAAGATTAACTCTTAATCAGGAAAGCAACTATTATTCTTAGGCCACTAATATACCATTCAAAAGACGTTATAAAGAACATATCAGTGTGACTTTGCACACCCCAATGCTATAGTATTCTTACCCTAGATATTTCTCACCTTATTCTAATTGTTAAAAATTTAAACCAGTCTCAGCAACCATATTTTCTAATTCTAAATAATTTATCACACACACAAATATACACACAATCCTAAGTCATTAAAACACCTGGTCAAAAAAGGGTATTAGACATAAAGTAATTTTATCTTAAGACTCCCAACCAAAGCAATTATGTGAACTAAGAACAGAATTAAAGTTACAGAAAAACACACAGAGGGTAAGGGGGTTTATGTTTTTGTTTTTGGCTAAGACTGTTAGCAGCGATGTCATCACTGTTTTGTTTTAGAAGAGCAGGGTAAAATATTAAATTTCCTAGTCTAAAATGCATTAGAATCAACAAAATATACCTTTACATAGACATCAAAGTAAATACAAAGGTTTCTTTAGAAATTCAGAGAAAAATACAAATCTATACTTTTAACCATGGATATCTAAAAATTTGTTTTTCTCTTTAATTACAAATTGAATGTATATGAAGATTTTAAATACAGTTAAACTTATAGAAGAAAAGGAAAAACACTACTTAACCACCCACCAAAGATGACCACCTTGATTTATGTCTTATATCATGAATTAATCTTAATCAATCAATACATTGCCAAATTTTAAGTCTTTCTGGTACACACAGCATAATTCCTCAAAAATTGACATCTGTTATAAACCTTATAAACCAAACAATATTTGTAAAAGTTAACATAGTTTCTTCTGGAAAGTAAAAGGATATAAGTTTTATTTTTCTAACTATATAATATATAACATCTGGAAACTGAGTACTGAGACCAAAATAAGCCTTGCAACATGGTTGCCATTTTAAGTACATAACAGCTTTCAGATGGAACACACTGAAAGGGAAAAACTGCCTGAGAAAGCCAAGGTTAAGTTAAAAAAAAAAAAAGCTCCAATTAAGAATAACCAGCAATTTTCCAGTTAAGAAATTCAATGAGTACTAATAATCTTAGTGTACATGTTCTAAAACTGGAACACATGCTCAATGTTACTTAAATAGAATACTAAAGCAGGGACAAACGAGTTTAAATCCATTATGCCATCTTGTCTTCATAATTGAAGAATTGCCCCATCATTAGGCCAATGAAGTGACATACTTCTCCCAGCATTAGTCAAAGGTTAAAGTATTATGAGGTAGCCATAGACAACTGCCTGCCCCTTCTTAACTCAGGGGCTTTTGAGACTGTACCTACGGAATAGTTTATTTTTGTACAGGGTAGACCTATCTATAAGTAAAATGGACAAGTAATCTTGATTTTTTACTCATTACGTTCATATGGCATAAAGAACTGATTAGCTTATTTGTAAAAGAAAAGAGTGAATAAAACTGATTTTCATATATCGAAGCCAGTTAGTAGCAAAAGTAAAACAGAATTATAACGAATTTCAAACAATTTTAATAATTTTAAGTATGCATTACTGTTTGAACATTGATTTGTTCAGGAAAAAATGCATGGGCATTAATTACCTTCCATCTAACAGTCATAATAAAATCTACTGCTATTAAATAAGATTTTTTATTTCTAGTCAAATTATATCAGTTATAGATTTTGAAGAATTTCTAGAGACATTTACATACATTAATTTACATTTCTAGCACTGATGTCAAAGATCAAAGTGTTAATATCTAAGTGTAGAATTTCATGACATACTTACAGAAAAATCCAGTTTTAAGGTTTCCTAATTAAAAAAAAAAATCTCCACTGAAAGTAAATGCTAAAGCAGCAAACTAAATTTCAAAAACTAACAAAAAAGGCCTTCCAGGCTGGACATGGTGGCTCATACCTGTCTGTAATCCTAGCACATTGGGAAGCTAGGATCACATGAGCCCAAGGAGTTTGAGGGTGATGTTGCTACGTGGATCTAGCCTGGGCAACAGAACAAGACCCTTTGGAAGAGGATGGGGGAAACTCCTAACAACATGGAAAGAATATATATTAAGAACATATTAAATTTAATTTACCAGGATAAAAAAAGACGTAATTCCCTACTTAATCTAAACTAACATTTACCCAAATTTCAGACCTTTCTTTTACTCTAATTCATAAACTTCTATGTGCCTTCATGCAACATGATACATAATAAAGACACATTTTTATAGCTTTTGAAATACCATATTATAGTGTTTAAGTACCTTTACATCATCATAAAATAATCTGTCCCCCCAAAATACTAACAAAAATATTTAACACAAGGTTCAATGCTTGATCTATTAAGAAAATCATCTCTCAGTAGTTTATTGAAATATCTTTTTCCTCCTATAATTTTTTTCTACACTTAACTTTCTTTCTGTTCTGATTATGAAGTAGTCAACCCATTCTGAAGTTCCAGGTTTTTAAATGTATAATTTCTACCTAAAAGACGTATATAAAAAAAAACAGAGAAAAAGACAAATTGGCTCCAATTCTTATACTGAGAGGTCAATACAAAGAGTGAACATTTAGGAAATTCCAAAATGAGTTTTAACTCAAGCAAAAAATAAAAAAAGTAAAGGCATACCTTAGAGTTTATTTTGTCTTCTAAGAACTGGAACTGCAGAGATTGATGTGTTAAAAGCTGAATATGATACCTTTATCCCCCTAACATCAGTGTTAAAATCCAATTTGAGACCAGAAACCTTGTGGTTTCCCAGGATGCAAAAGTTCACACGGCCAAACTACTTGCTATGTCCAATTGGGCAGAATTTTTAAGTTAAAAACATCATGCCTTTCAGAAGATTAATGACACCTTTTCAACACTGAATGTGCTCTCTAACTGTGAAAAGAGTACCCCTAGCAAGGTTGAAATTACCACCATTTATACACAAAATACTATGGCTAATTTCCATAAAAGTAACATTTTTTGCTTTCGTTTTTGACAAGTTCCTATACAAGAGGGGATTTTGCAACAATATCCTTCAATAGACTTCTAATTAATTAATTTGTCAGTACCACTTCATTTTAGGGAACAGACAAGGGGGAGGAAATAGGCAAGGTGCAGTACAACTGAGTTGACCAATTAAATATACAAAGAAATATTCTCACACACACACTTTAAAGAAACAGAAAATATGATTAAGTTGAATGAAGGGCTGATTGTAGCCACAATATAGCCAAATCCATGGTATACCTATTTAATTTTATAGTGCTGTTTTATGAGTTATTTTCTGTTTTGCTCATAGATGTTCAGCTTGTACTCTGTATCACTGGTTTATTTCTTCCTTTTGATTGAGTAACTAACAAGAAAGAAAAGCCTTAAAAGAAGGCATTGCATAACATGGGGTATGATCCCAATTCCTACTAGTTTTGGTGCTTAAGATAGATGAAGAAAATAAACTACAATAAAACACTATTATATTTAGTGTTGTACTGTAGACTCAGATATACCATGGATCAAATCACTGCACTACAAAGCTGTACACAACACAAGCCTGAAGCATGTGTCTCACAAGGCTGGTGTCAGGCAGTCCAGTCCAACACCAGTGTTACACAGCATGATCTCGTTTGTTTGTCTTTTTAGATCACAAGTTACCCAATACATAATACCCCAAAATAAATGTCAATGAGAATAAAGAACATCAGAAAATAGACCTTTAAAGCAGCTTTATGACAAATAAAAATTTAGGCTCAACATCAAAGCAATTCTATACCACTTTAAATACCATTAAATAAATTAGTAATACTGTAGGTAATGAATATTTAAAGACCTACCTAGGCTATAAACACCATATTGTTTTCTGAAGATAGAACCATATGTCTTAGCTTGTGTGTGTCTGCAGGAAAAAAACCTCACTAGTAACACACAGGCATTTTAAGAAAACAATTTAAGATAAGCTTTGTTAAGAGCACATTCTTTTAAAACATACTAGCCACTTGAAAACCTAATCCATAGAACACAATGCAAAATATAGGATCTCCATAAACAAAACAAAACCCTATTAGACATCAACCTCTAAAATCATGTTCAAAGTTTTCATCATGCTACTTGTAACTAAAAGAACCCTTTGAGGAGAAATATATAAAACGTATACTTTAAAAAACGACTAGGCATTATTTTTTATTAAATTCTACAATAAAAATCCCAATTGTGAAACATTGCTTTTTTCTCAAGATTTTTCATTTGAAGGTTTTAAAAAATATATAAAAATCAACAGACTGCAACATGTATGACAGTAATATCTGCCTATAATAATCATAATTCAATCAGGATTTTAAAAAACGGACTTAATGTTAATTTAACAAAAGAAGTGTAATCATTATAAAAGTATTTGAGTACCTCTTACGTTCCAGGCAGTGAACTAAGTGCTGCAGGGGTAAGACCTAGGAAGATGTAGCAGTCCTTGTCTTAAAAAAACAAAAAACAAAAAAAAACCCTTCCCATAGAGAAGAGTGGGAGAAGGAAAAAGGAAGATAATAGTGAACACATACTGACATACAGGAACAACAGAGCTTAAGATGTTTATTTACTCACTCAATTATCTGTCACATTTTTAGACAATTGTAAACATAGAAAACAAGTGTATTTCAGAGAAAAGGGCAGTAGGTTGGAGAAAGTAGAAGTCAGGAATAAGTAATAAAGAAGTCAGCTTATTACTCTATTGGAGAAGGTCTGACAGAGATGAAGACAAGACAGATGCAAAGACAGATAAAGGATATTGAGAAAGCATTATTATTTAGCATGAGAAAACCAGGAACTTCTCTTTGTAAAGAAGGGATAGAGTTATTGAAGTATGTGCCATGAGAACTTATCACTTATTCAGTAGCTATTATGATGCAATGATGACATTTCAGATTTTTATATACAAGGTAACTTTTATCTTTGTTAAATACATGCCAGATAGGCATTAAATCTTGCATTCCCAGATGCGTCCATCAAAGTACACATTGCAAACTAAACACCAAGCCTGGGCTTCAACAGATGTTAAAGGACAAATTTCAAGTATGTTCCAATTCTCTTTTCTGGGAAGAGAAGGCAGATATGGAAGACACATAAAACATAAATAGAAAGGCTCTATTAAGAAGGCTTTTCATTCAAGCATTTGATGTGCTTAATTAAGGTGGCCTTAAATTCTCAAAACAGGATAGCAAATACTATAGCACATTAGAGAAACAAGAATTAAAGAGTTCAATGTTACAAAAAAATCTGTATCTGTATTGAAAATCCACCTTCTGAAGAGCATACTCTCTTCAGTAGGAGTTAAGAGATGAGAAGCTAGGCAAACTCCCTGAGTGCCCATCCACCTTCATCTGTTTCTCCAAATTTCCCCATCAGATAGCAGAGCCAAGTGAACTATGATCATCATATCAATACCAGGAGAGGTAAGAGAAACAAAGCAACCATTTGACTCCTGGTACTTAAGGTAGGAGTGCTGAGCCTCGACAGGATGGGAAAACTGAAGGTGCCCAATTCAAACATTAAATTAGAAACTACTTGGACTTGAAAAAAAAATGCAGCAGAGAGAAAGGAGTGCCACACTATCTGGAAAGGAACGCAAATGCTGAGTCATCACTCTTCATTAGGAAAGGATGGAAACTCAAATTAAGTGGTTGGAAGATGAAATTCATTCATTAGAATGGGCTTCAGGTAGAAAGCAACAGTAGACAGGAGAAAAAGCTCCCAAAAGACACACATTGAATAGCGGATGAAGACATCATTTCAGCCGACTCTGAAGGTTCCGACGCACAAACAGATTAAAAAGAGGCAACACCAAGAGAGCAAAAGGAGTTTAACTGGTTGTCAGTTTAGTGTAGGGAGCGCTCAAAGTAAACTTCGTTATCCAAGAAGGGAAAGATGCTCGGGCGGCAAAAGACATCCCTGCTGCGCTTCAAAAGTAGCGGGCGCTTAGGCTGGTGTTTCTGACAGCGTGGGCGGGGGCACGTGGACTGAACAGAGAGAAGGGGCTTGAGCGGTGGAAGAGTGTCCGGCTTCCTAGGAGAGCTCAGTACGGGTGAAGAGCTGGGAGCAACCCCGTTGTGGACGTGAAGGGCGTGAATGCGAATTCTTCGGGGCCCGCAGGGGATGCCGCGACGGTCCCACCCCCAGGTCCACCCCCACCAGGCCCTGCCCCCGTGGGGACCAGCAGCTCCCGGCCCGGCCCAGGGCCCCCAAAGCAGAGGAGCAGGAGCTCTCCTGGGCCTGACAGCCTCAACCGTGCAGAAACCCGGCCTAGGGAAGGTGTGCAAAGAAGGGCGAAAGAGAAAAAGGTCGAGACAAGCCCCAGACCCCAGGAAGTGACTGTGTTTGGGGGAAGGGAGAGCTTCCTTTCCAAGGAAAAGGGGACAGATGAGGAATGCACTTCGCTTTCACGCCACCCTGGCCAGGGAGCCGCCTAGACTCCCGGCTTGGCCCCCTCTCTCCTGCTCCCTCCCTCAGCAGCCCCTGGTGCCTGGGCGTCTCGGCGCCTGGCACCCCCCGTCTCGGGTACTCACAGAGTCCGGGGCTGCCCGTCGTCTTCCATCATGGTGGGTGCGACGGAGCGATCCCGGGACAAGAGGGAAGGCAGGGCTGGGGAGGGGAAGGGGCGGGGAGGAGGGGGAGGGGGGCTCCGGGCACCGGCTGGGGACAGAGGAAAAGGCACCGAACCCTGCTCTCGGGCTCTCTCCCCCCAGCCCGCTCCGGACACTGCGCTCCAACCCGGAGGAACAGGAGGAGGAGGAGGATGAACAAAATGGCCGCCGCCACCAGCCAGGCAGGAAACGGAGCAGAGCGCAGGCGCGGCCCGCCAGGTCACCGCTCAGGCCGGCCGCGACGGCCTGCGAGGGGGATAACTGAGGGGAGAGAAAAACGGGCCGCTGAGGAAAGCCTGTGGCTGGTCACAACAGGCCGCGTCGTCGCCGTGGAACTGCTGGCCGGCCGAAGCCCAGCCAGCTCCAGAAGAGATCAGGGAAAAGGAAAAACGCCGGGAAGCCGAAGTCTCCGGGAATTGTGGTCCTGGAAGTGAGAGAAAGAGAGAGAGAAGCGCTGCTCCAGAGGACTTCTGGGAACTGTAGTCCAAAGGAGCCGGCCGGCGCCCGCCCGCGCTGGGACGTGAAGAAGAGACTTCTGGGTAGTGTAGGCGTACGTGAGGACGTGCGGCGAACAGGAAGTCGCCGTGTGGGAGAGAAGGGAAGAATAAAGGCGACGTTGAAAGGCGGGCAGACGAAGTGGGAACGGTGCCGTGGGGAGGCAAACTACAAGTCCCAGAGTGCCCCGCGCCGGGGGCTGTCCTAGGATTGCTCCACGCATTTCAGGCTCTTCTGTTGGCTCAGCCTGAGCTTCTGCTCCGCCTCTGTCCAGCTCAAGAGCGGTTTCTTCAACTGCGGCTCAGGCAGTGCCCGGCCTCCGCGTGGTGTCTGAGCCAGCAGGCCTCGCCGGCCCTCCTCTATTAATCGGAACGGCCTGCCAGCGGTCATCAACTGCCGCCTCGCGCGACGGCGGGAGAGAGAGAGGCTGGCCTGAGGGAGACCTGGAGGGGCTGGGGCGGACCTGGCCGAGGGCCGGCTGCGTCTTGTGAGCGCAGCCTAGCTAGTCTGCCTATAAATTGCTTTACACGTTTCAAAGGTTTCTCTGTCCATTGTCTCATCGGATAAGAGGGGGTAAGAACCAGCCCTCCATTAAAATGACTTGCAGGCTGGGCGTGGTGATTCAGGCCTGTAATCCCAGCACTTTGAGATCAGTTAACTCCAGGAGTTGGAACGACATACCGAGAATCGTCTCTACAAAACAAAATTTTTTTTAAATAAGCGGGGCGCGGTGGTGCGGGCCCACCTATTGGGGAGACTGGAGTGGGAGAATCACTTGAGCTAGGAGTTTGAGGTCGCTGTGAGCTGTGATGATGCTACGGCACTCCAGCCTGGGTGACAGCAAGATTCTGTGTATATAAAATAAAATACTTCCCCTCTATTTAACTCTAAGAATTAAAATCAAAATAATTGGGCACAAATGATTTGCCTTTAATCATGTGGATGGGAAGTGCAGTTTTCCATGAAGATGGAACCTGAAAGCCAGGTTCAAACTAGCTCTGCAGCCCTGTAGAATGTGTTCCCCGCTTCCAGAAGTCCTGATGTGCTTACCCCTCCCCCTAAGCACTCTGAGCAGAATGTTATTAAATTCGTACCTTCTTACCTTCTCTTGAAGCTTAGGAAAGGGAGGTGGTGAAGATCTTCAGCCTAATGCCAGAGCTTAATGGTCCCAGTTAACAATGCCTTGTACTTAGTTTCTGAAAACGTGCTGGGGGCCTACTCTGTGCAGGTGGCTATGCCAGGAGTACTGCTGAATCTAATCTGTGCAGCGGGGGTTGTAATGTCAATTCATGAGGGAGGAGATTTCAACCTGGAAGACTTCATGGAGAGTATAGCAAGGAGTTGAGGCCATAAGAGTAAGTGGGAATAGTAAAACAGAAGACAGGGCCCATAGCTAAAATGTATGAGGTAAAGGAGGGGGGTAGCTAGGGGGCAGCATGAAGTAGGTGTCTAGACAGAGAGATGGGCATGGGCCTTGTAAAGCTATGTTGTCAAGGGTCTATAATATTCTGAAGGGTTTCAGCTTCCAGACAGTGAGGAACCATTCAATGAGGTTTTGTCTGTTTTGTTAATTGGACTTAAGTGTACAACTGGATTTAATCATAATGCAATTAATTGATCCATATCTCAACCATTGTATTAGTTTCATGTTGATGCTGTAACAAATTACTGCAAACTTAAGAGGCTTAAAACAGCATGAGTTTATTATTTTAGTTGTAGAGGTCAGAAGTCTAAAATCAGTTTTACTACACTAAAATGAAGGTGTGGGCAAGGCTGGTTCCTTGCCTTTTTCCAGTTTCTAAAGGTTGCCTGCATTCCTTGGTTCTTAGCTCCTCTTCCATCTTCTGGAGGAGGCATACTGTCTTCTATCCTCTATGACCCCTGTTTCTGTACTTACATCTTCTCTTTCTGACTCTGATCCTCCTGCCTCCCTCTTTCACTAACAAGACCCCTTTGCCCATTGTGATTACTTGGGCCAAGATGATCTCCTCATATCAAAATTCTCTTCCTTTCTTTCTTTTCTTGTTTTTTGAGACAATCTCATTCTGTCACCCTGGATAGAGTGCTGCAGTATGATAGCTCACAGCAACCTCAAACTCTTGGGCTTGAGCAATCCTCTTGCCTTCACCTCCCAAGTAGCTGGGAGTACAGGCATGCGCTACCACACTGGCTAGTTTTTCTGTTTTTAGTAGAAACGGTCTCACTCTTGCTCAGGCTGTCCTCAAACTCCTGAGCTCACTCAGTCCACCCTCTTCAGCCTCCCGGAGTGCTACAATTACAGGCTTGACCCACCTCACCAGCTTCCCATCTCAAAATTCTTAATCACATCTGTAAAGTCCCTTTACCATAACATAACATTCACAAGTACTGGGGATTAGGACATAGACAACATTAATGGGCTGTTATTCAGTTCACTTTTTCTACCTTTATTTAGTTACTTTTCATACTAATAATAGCTGTAAACTGACCATCCTAAAAATCTTATAATGGCAGCAATTTATATCTACATCTATGGTAAGCTTCCTACACAGGCTAGCTCACTTCCCTGCCTCCTTCTGTCTGGGGTAAACATCATCCTGGATCCCGTCTTCATTATTTCTTGCTTTTCTTTTATGAAGTTTCATTCTACGTATATAGTCCTAAACAGTATGTGTAGTATACAAATATACATTTGAATTTTTTAACTTAATAAAAAGAATATGCCCACCACATACCATTAGAATGGCTGAAATCCAGAACACTGGCAACACCATATGCTGGTGAGGATGTAAAGCAACAGGAATCCTCATTCATTGCTGGTAGGAGTTCAAAATGGTACAGACGCTCTGAAAGATAGCTTGGCAGTTTCTTGCCAAGCTAGGCATAATTCTTAGGTATTTACCCAAATAAGTCCAAAACTTATGTTTACTTAAAAACTTACACATAAGGCTCGGCGCCTATAGCTCAACCGGCTAAGGCGCCAGCCACGTACACCTAAGGTGGCGGGTTCGAATCCCCAGCCCGGACC